GAGAGAGAGAGAGTGAAAGACAGATAAGAAGGAAGGAGAGATTGGCACAATGTAGTGCGTAAAGGTGCTGCTTACCCGTTTCCAACAACTTCAAAACTCTGTAAACAGCTGATCCTCTGTTGATTATCGCCTCATCTCAGCAGGAGGGAAAGCCGAGAAAGAAAAGGGGGATGCGGGAGGAAGAAAATGGGAAATAAAGCCCTGGATGCGCGTTTACTTCCAGCAGAAGAGCCGTCCGTTCGCTCTCCTGTCCCGGTCCAGCCCCAGCAACAAGCTCTGATCCCTCCTCCTGTGCGCGCACGGCGCACCCCAGCAGTGGGCACTGCTGTCCGCTTGGAGGCGCCATGGCTCCGCCGCAACCTGTGTGTGCGCGCGCGCGCGTACCCGTGGCCTGTTGTACCAGTTTTATTGCCATGCACCAGTAAAAGAGGATGCCGAAGCGCAGCTGGAGTTTAGTAGACCCCCACTCGAATACGCCTTGAACTTCACAAACAGTTCTAATGCCCGTTTAGTATCAGGGGATATGACAATTTTACAGATGTGGCCCTCAGCAGAACACATGGCACAACCCTGAAGACACACTGAGCTTTCATGTCCCTGAGATAGAGCATTTAGGAGGTTTTCACAGTTAATCTCATACATGTGGTGAGTAAGAATGAAATAGTCAAGGATAAAGAGCAGACTTACAATAAGCCCCCCATACTCATAAACACACACACACAAAAACAGCCCCTCACTTGTGTCTGGTGGTCTGGTTGCAATTACTAGGCAGAGTGAGAGGAGTTTATACTGGGTGTAAACACTGACAGACTGTCCACAACTCTACTCACCTTGTTTATACCCATGTAGGTGCTTCAGCTGCCCGTTTGCCTATTTGTATGGGTTTAAGTATTTGTGGTCATGGTGGGAGGTCTGTTTGTACACATCTGCACAAAATCTTGCATTTAAACTCCGTAAAGCATATTTCTTTTTCATTTCATTGTGGCTGATCATGGGTTGGCTGCAGCAACACTTGTGCATGTCAGTGTCCAATTTGCCTGAATTTTCTGATGTGGGCTGCAGAGCTGCCATGCATTAACACTACCACTGATGTGTTATCCAGACCAGGAGGTGATGTCAGGAACAAGCTTTTACATCCAAGGCTATATCCGTTACATGATAGGCTATCAGCTTGGTGAGGAAGATAAAGAAGTTGTTTGGGTCAGCTGAGTATAGAAGGTGCCGATGTGAAATGACAAGAGACTGGAATCTCTTCCTTTAAGAAAATCACATCAAAGGAGCCTTTTGTAAAAGCAGGGAACCAGAATCTGACCTGGTCAGTCTTTAGATATTGCTGCTCTTGCACATATAGGAACGTAACATATTTATTATTAATATTATAATACACGTTCTTCAATTTAGGTCCCTGATGCTCTTTAATTTGACTTTATCTGACTGTATAGTGGGCTATGATCAGTAGAGGTGGATGGAGGTGAGACAGCTGTCAGCATTTTGCCATGGCGACCAAGTGCAGATGAGAAAGAAAAGGAGAGGAGGAGGAGTAGGGCAGCTGCCGACCAGAGTTATTACTCTCTGAAGCTCTTCTCTCAGTCTTGGCCAGGGACGGGTTTTTCCTTAAAAAGAGAGGAAGAGAGGAGTGGAGCAGTGTGTGTGTGTGTGTGTGCACATGCATTTTAGGTCAAAGCAAACGTGATGGATTAAGATTTGAACTCCAACTGAGCATTTTAAGTAGTGTGGCAAATGTGTGAGCGCACAGGGGGAAGGTGTGTGTGTGTGTGTGTGTTTGGGGAGGGAGGGAGTGGTGAAGCACTTTACACACATACACACACATATATAGAGGCCTAAGTGACTCACAAAAGCTGTCCGCCTTGCAGGGGTAGACGGAGAGGTTTAGGGATAGAGGGAAAGAAGCAGGAAGAAGGAAAAGGAGAAAATGAGGAGACATGGGGGGGGTGAAGAAAATGACGGAGGGAGAGGAGAGGGAAAGACAAAGAAGACACAGGCAGGGAGGAGAAGGAAGAGGCTCTCCTCTGAAGCAGCGGGAACACTGACAGAATCCTCAAGATGCTTCATGGTCGAGGGAGGGAAGGAGGAGAGATGGAATCTGGGCATGTTCTGAGAGGAAGATAAAGAGTTTGATTTTTAGCTTCACGGCCAAAAAAACTACACACAGAAAAAAGAGGCAGCGTGAAAATGAGGGGGAATAAAATGGGTATGAGAGCTGCTGACAAGAAAAAGCATGGACTGAAGCAGATTAGAGGATAGAGATTCACGCAGGAAAAAGACGCTGCTAAATGGCTTCAGTGTGGCGCTGCTATTTATTTGATTTAACTTCAGGAGTACAAATGCTGTTAAGCCCTTGAGCTCTGTCACTCCACATTTGAATGAATTGGGTGAAAATGACAAGGTACTAACTAACCACCAAAAGAAACACTGTTTGCAAAAAGCAAAGTTAAATACAAAGAGTAACATGATGACATTTAAAGTAGAATAGATTACTGCTGATGGTCCAAGGCAGTTGGTCCCAACCTTTGTGGCTTGTGACAACACACAATCTCTTGTCATAGGTTTCATCACAACAGTTCAACCAAAGAGTGATGTTTCTTTTTTTTATCTGGATAGGTGAATCTAGTGTGCAAAACATGAGGGATCTCAGTCTTCCAAATTAACACTTAGGACCCTCTGACAAGCTCAAAATTAAAATCATATATATCTATGAGGGTGAGATGTGCAGAGAAAGTGCAACTGACAGTGAACAGACAGCTGAGTGAATCTGCCTGGCATGAATACTGCCCACCAAATTTGTACAAACTATGAATACAGGATAATCAATACATTTAAACTCTGCCTCATTTATTTAATGTCAAACAAACAGAGTAGATTTACACATCAGGCCACAGGTCTTACATTAATGGGGCACAACTGACTTACAGAAAGGCTTGTGGTCAGGTCACAATTAGGCCTTGTACAGTTCAGTGCCGGGTCAGTTTGTGGTTGTGAGGCAGGTACAGGTTTGTAGGACTCTGGAGCTTTTCAGTCATTTAATTTTGTTGTTTTTATAGCATGTTGGATGTTTAGAATTGTGTGAACTGAGTGGCAGACACAGGAGGCAAAGGCGCACTCTGATTTGGAAGCTGATAGCATTTGTCACACACTAGCTAAAAAATGATCATCAAAAATGAAACCCCCACACTGAGAACCACCACTTTAAAGTAATCCTGGCATGCCTTTATTTTTTTTGAAAGGGGTAAAAAAAAACCTCCTTAAAAAGTAACACCGTATCATTCCTTCTCTCGCTATAGCTTCACTGGAAACGCCTGCTGGACAGAATCTTCCACGACAACTTTTCAGAAGACGAAGAGATCGTGGTGCTTGCCACCGATTACATCCAGAAAGTCTCCGACATCATCAAGACCACTTCGAAGAGGTAAAGAAAGAGAACGGGTGGCTTTGGGGGGGTTGAGGGTTGGGGGAGTGGTGAAGGACGAGGGGAGAGAAAGATGAGGGCACTGAGGTGTATGGAAAATCGATGAAATTAGACGCAGGAATTTTTTAGTCGGTACTTTTTGAGCATGAGTAAGCGCTTTTGTTTGAGGTTGTTTTGTGGGTGTGTATTGCCTTTGGTTTAGGCCTGTCACTATAGTTAGGGCTACAACACAGTGTCACGAGGCGTATGGATTGGTTTTTGAATGCTGCTGTGCATGTATTTCTGTGGGCATTTGTGTGTGTGTGTTTGTTTGAGGTGAGTCACTGTTGGGTGAACTTCCAGTTCTACTGCAGCTGATTATTATTGATCCACACCCACACCTTTCTACCACCTGCAGACTCAGACAGACGCACATGGACGGACACACACACACACACTCTTTCCTTCTTCTTGACAGACTCCAGGGGAGGCCTTAGAGGGCTGCTGCACGTCAGGATGTGTGTCACAGCAACTGACAGCTCGCCAATAGTCACTGTGCTCTACACAAATACACAACAGCACTCAGCCCTCATACATGGCTGTGATCATGAAAATTACCATAAATCCTGAGGTAGTTATGCGTATGCAGAGCGACAGATGAAGAGCAGAAAGTCAGACAGACAACGGACACGACAGACTTATCCCAGGTCTCGAGACATAAATGACAAGCAGTAAGCACCGGCGCAGTTCTGGCC